ATAAATCAGTGCAAGCTGCAGTAGCATGAAGGCTGTTGCAAGTTCAACCCTTGGGGCACGAACAGTTGACATTTTGCTGCTTACAGCAGATAATGGTGGATGTGTTCCCCTCGCAGATATGGAGAAGATCATTTCTGCATGCAGTGTGGAGTTGGTTTGCTATTGCTGAGGCACAAACACATGGGCATGAATGCAACACCAGGCCTTGGGAAGATGAGGCTCTGCAACATGAAAAATTGCACGTAAGCAGAAATACACTACGTGCGAGGTGCCTGAAGCCGCCTGCAGCGCTTAAACAAATGACACAGATTGGGAGTGTTCAAGCTGGCTTGTGAATATGTCTGTAGAGGGGGTAAAAGTGGAAGCACGTAATTCTGTCTTGTCTCTGTCCTTCTTCCCCTTACACCTCTGCCCTGGGTGAGTCTGATGATCAACAACCCCTGAATGCCAGATATTGCAGTCTGTAGGTGTGAAACATCCTGAAGGTACAGAAAAACATGGGCAGAGGAACCAGATGCAGGCATTAAAAGGAGAAGTGGGCTTCTCTGTACGTCATTTGTCTAACCCCCTTCCTGCAAAGGCAGAGTGGAGCTGATTGTGTGTGCCCTTTCAAAGGGCTACAGCTCCTTTCCCCCTATGAGGAGACATTTAAGAGTTGTAACAGGCTTGAACGCTTAGCAGGTATTAAGAGTTGGCATGTTTGTTGTCTCTGTGAGTAAATCAACTGCTGATAAGGTGAAGAAATCACATGTCAAGGCAGGTTATAAAACCACAGATCCACGTGGTTGCTGAGATGTTCTGTCAGGCTTAGGAGATTTTGAAACTTAACTTCATTGGCAGACTGCCTGTCACAGTATGGATAGGGCATGTGGGAACAATGCTCTGGTGGTACCCAGCAGTAATCCAGTAATAGCCTAAATCCAGGCAGGTGTCACTGGAATGCCTGGGTTCCCCCAGGTGCTTGCATACCAGATCTCTACTCCAGAGGCATGCAGACAGCTTACGCTGTGCAGCTGCTGTTGTGTTCTGTTCTGAGGCATGTTATTTGCACACCTTGTGTAGGTCTTTAGACACAGATGGTTCAGCCAGAGCTTTTTATGAAAGGTGAATCATCCTCTCTGTCATGGTATGATTAAGGAATTTTTGTTTCCATGACTCAGAGAAAAAGGTGGTGTTGTCCCTCTGTGTCTTGGGTGCATAAGCTGCTTTTGTTTCTCCACTCATTTCACGATTTGGAATAGGCAATGAACTGCAGAGTGATGACAGTTCCAAGACAGAGTTGATTTCTTGACACCTTCCCTTCTCCCTTGATAAACGTGTTCTTGATAAGATGAGCTGCAGGAGCCATGGTTTTGCAACAGTATCAGCAGGATAAATATTTCTGTATTTCTAGATGATTTTGACATTATATATTCCCTTCCTTTTTTTTCTGACAAAGGTTAGCCCCATTATATGTACTACTCTTCATTTCATATCCTTCTTCCATCTGGTCTGTCTCTTCAGTAGCAGCTGAGGAAACATAGCTCCCACTCAGGCTGCCAGATAGCTCTGTCTCCAGTGCATGAGAAAAGGTCCCTGTGTGAGGCAGAGCGGTGCCCTGCTGCGCACTCCTCAGGCTGTACCATGAGGGCAGGTGTTGCTCTCAGACTCCATGATAACCTCCTATCCCCTCTGCCAGCTCTTACAGGTGAGGGCATACCACTGTCCCCCTCAGTTAAGAGGTCTTGATTCCCAGGCCTAACCTAGGAGCCAGGAGAATCCAGACAGTTTTCTCCTGAGCAACTAGGTTATCACAGTAGTAGAGAAAGAAATCTTTGTTTAAAATATTAAAACCATGATACAGAGACTAAATAAAGAGCAGTGCATGTAGAGAAGGCATACAGTATTTGTAGATGCCAGTTACACAAAACCTATGATTATCTGGATAATGAAGCCATGGAGACGGGAAATGCTTATACTGGAGAACTCTAAACTTCAGCTAGGAACTTGCTGGCAGGTGGCCATTTCATTAAGGAAGAAGAGCCTTGCTTGATTTTCCTGACTTTTAAAGAAGATTTTGTAGTGCCCCTGTGTGAGAAAAATTGCAAGCCATAAGTTCTGTCTAGAGAGAAGCATTTTTTTGAGAAAAGCTGTCTTCATATTAATTAATTTAAAACCAACTCTGTGAGGCAATCCTGTTACAATTATTTATTACATCACCAGACTATGTATGAAGCAAGATAGTTTGCAGGTAAACTGGCTTGCTTTTGCCTGGGGGTTAGATTCCTGGGCTCATTTCTATCTTCTGGCTCTTAACTTTGATATATTATGGCCTTTTGATTTCCTGTTTAGTGTTAACGTTGAATACGTAAAGTCACATTAGAAAGTGGCTGATTTTTTTTTTTTTTATTATTATTATTCACGTTTCTTAAAACTTCAGTTTATACTGACTTAAATGCTTCTAATGTTCTGTGAAATACTTTACAGTCAACTGAATGAGATAACCAGATAGGCAATAGCTTCCTCAACAACACATCTGTTTTGCCAACTTGTGGGACAGTGGCATATTCCCTCTGCTCTGCGGTGATGGTAATGAGGATGGTGCTCCTGGGATAAGAACCTATGGTGGGAGCTGCAAACCTTTGCATCAGATTATGTGAAAGGATGTACCCTATGTGCAGGACCACACTGTCGTTGCTAGACTCAGGGCAGGGCTCTGGTCTCTGCTGTTCTAGTGCATTGCTGGAACACGTGTACTCTCCCAGCCATGACTTGAATGGAGGAGATGGAGACCGGTGGGGGATGTGCTAAGAAAAAGAGTACATGTGTCCTGAACACATCCACGTGGGCATGGCCTTGAAGCCAATGATGTAAGAACGTCTTTTGTAAAATGCCAGTAAGCGAAGCTCTGTGTCTTTTCTCCCAAAGGAGAAGTCTCCTTAATGCTTTTTTAGTTATTAATCATTTTAGTTAATTGTTAATGGGCAGAATTTATTTAAAACCACCTGTTTTCTGTGCTGCCATACTTAATTTCATGTGGAAGGGAATAACTGCTCTGAGAACTTTTTGCTTTTGGCAGCTAGTGAAGCTGACAAGAAGTTCTTAAATTTGATGGCATTCTGTGTTATTCCAGAAGGGTATTCCTCCCAGATTGCTACATGAGGGGAACAATATTGCTGTTTTACTATGTGATATGTTACTATATATAGTAGTGTATTACTACAAGCAACCTGCTTGGCTCTTACATGCACGTAAGGCTTTCTAGGCATGTTACAAGTTTTATCTATAGATAATCATTGCAGATTTTTGTGTCTTGACCAATAGTTTGTGGATTATCCTACACCATCTTCCAGTAAAAGGCTAAGATTGTCAACTCTAAATACAGCACCTGAAAAACAGAATTAAACCACTTTTCTCCCTGCCTAAGTGTATTTCTACTGTTCTTTTCCTTGTTTGAGTGTAACACTGATGAAAACCAAACAGAAAGGAATATGTTTTTTTCATGTATTTTGCTTTTAGAATTGTTTGGCTTAATAGGTGAATGTCTTTTATGTACAGTGCCATTTGTATAGTAATGCTATTTCATAAGGTCACAAATATCTTTACAGTGCAAATCAGAGCCTTTGAAAGCTGTGGAGTTCTGTAGCAACCCAGACCCACTTTCTTGAAGCTAGTCCTGCTAAACACTGCTGTTCTTTATGTTCTGTGATGATCTTTAGGCACTGAAGTATTCTGCATACTCTTGAATGTAAACTTTAAAACATGTTTGGTGACCACATGTAACTCAAATTTAAGACAGTCTATAAAGTGTAGCCTTCAAAGAGTTAGTGTGACATGAACTGAAAATAAGGCTGGTTTAGAGTGTTTGAAGTTTAGTAGCTAAAAAACCCAAATGCCTCAAATTCTTGGTTTCTGTGTTCGTGGTTATAATTTGCAGAATTGTATTGAGAAATAGATAGAATATGCCATTGAAATTGAAAACGGAGTAGCATAAATGTCTGTATTGTGCTCTTAAACATTTCTTTAAACTGGCAGAATTCAGTATGGGGAAGATGATCATATATTCCCTGTTTCCGTCCCCTAGTTTCAGTGTATTATATACTGAAGGTTCATAGGAACCTTCTGGACCATATGTTGTTGTCAACTAACATCTACAACTCCTTGTGGAACTGAACGTCTCTTTCTGAATAACAATCTAATTAATTCAGTGCATTTGGATTCCAGTGGCTGAAACACTTTTAAATCTTAAACTTCCCAGACTCCTTTCAGAGGTACTGCAGATCTCTATCCCTGCCTGTCTTGTTAATCTGGATTTTTTTTATCTCATACTTCTTCAGGGCTTTGATGTAGTTGCTGTCTGTCTCCATCATCTGGAGTGTTTTTTTCATTCCGTTGCCTCTGTGTGGAATATAGATCCTTTAACTGAGCTCCACACAACTTCCCTGTTGCCCAGAAATAATCCTAAAACTCATGTCTTCACATGTTCCTATTGTCCACCAACCGATTCTATTTCATTCCTTCCTTTGCCAGATTTAGATAGTGGACTTTATGGAGAAAGTACTTGGAATCACTTTAATCTTTGTGAAACTATTGGCAAGACTGTGAAGCCATATAAAAATTTGTAGTTGCAAACTTGATGGAAGGTTACAACCTTTGTGTAATTTTTCAAGCAAGGCACTCTTAAAGCCAGGAGTATGATTTCAGGATGAGTTTTTGTGTCTCTGCCTGTCTCTTTGGAAGTATATTTAGAGAAGACGCAGAGGAGATGGTAAAAACAAGGCATTAAGAATGTGAAACTTTTCATACAGTGAAGGTTGGTTTAAGTTACTGGAATGATGATAACACTTAAGTATCAGTTCTTTGTTTTTCTGCAGAGCAGAGATTCTGAGGTGGCAAGATAAATATAATAAATTGGAAGATAAGCTCATGTTTGGTCATTTATTTCTACAGATGCACTTGTATTTTTCACTATTCTGTTTTTACATGCTGTTGGTTTTTTTAAATGTATATTTCTCTTTCAGCCATTAATGAATTTCCTGAAGATGTATTTACAAATAAAGAACGACAAGAAGGAGCAGTTCTGCTTCATATCATTGCTGTAAGTTTTCCTCTGATGTGCTTAAATTTTTTTATTTCCTTTTATTTGTCTTGTAAGGTACTAATCCTCTTAGTGGCTTTACTAAATAGAGCTCTGTATATATCAACATGTTTCTAATATTTTGATTTCAGTTTTTCTAATATGCCTGTATGGGTACAAATGCTCAAAAGATAACTTAAGGGCATGGTTTAGTGCTGGACTTGATCATGTTAGGCTAATGGTTTGACTCAATGATCTTAAAGGTCTTTTCCAACTTAAATGATTCCATGATTTAAGAAAGTGATAGAAATCTGAACTTGCTGTGTCTATGCATTCATCCTTGTGGATATAAAAATCCTGGTTGCATGGATCACAGATTTGTATTTGTTTGTATTTCATCTAGTAGAAACAGGGTTTGGCATTCCTTTGATGCCATCAAGCATGATGTAGAAGATTCTTGATTATCTTTCTTTCCTATTGTGCAAAAGATGCAATTGTAATTATACAAAACAACCCTGAAGAAATACAGAAAAAGTTATGTGGCATTTTACTTTTTATTGTAGAAAACCAAACCAACCAACCAACCAAACAAAAACCACAAAACAAAACAACAAACAAACAAAAACAAACCAAGTAGGGCCTACAGGCTCCAGTTTTCCATTCCCAGCACAGGGAAAGTAAAGTAAAAAAGGAGTTGTGTTTGATGGACACCAGGAGGATTAGGCAGACTGCAAGAGCACAGCACATAAAGCCATGTAAGACAGTGAGAGAATCACATGTATGGGGGAAAACAGAGTCATTCCTGAGAGGTTTGGTGCAGTGAGCCATAGTCAGGCTCCAGTTATTTCCAGGTGTGATGTTTTTCTTGAGTATTGTTAATCAATTTGACATTGCTTTCTATTTAATTATTTGGTCCACTAATTAATTAAAAATACAGATGGTGACTATGTAGCTTTGTAAGCCTTACTCATTATTTTCCTCCTTATGAAGTTTGTTGTGGCACCCTAAGTTGTCAAACTATGGTACCTTGCATATTCTAGGGTCTGGCAAACATTCTTGTTCTAAAGTTTATCTCATGTTCAAGAATCTGTTTTTATGCCATGAATTGAACAGCAGAGGGATTTTTATTTGGAATGGAATAAAAATTGAAGCTATATATTTCTGCTAGTCTGAATAAATTATAGCATTGCCTTCTTTCCTCTTTTCATGTACAGGAAAAATCTGAAATACTTCCTAAATTTGTTTTCTTTATAGGCTCTTTACATGTTCTATGCTTTGGCTATAGTATGTGACGACTTCTTTGTTCCATCCTTAGAGAAAATTTGTGAGGTACGTTAAAGATCTTTATTCCTCTTTCAGAAATTTATTTAGAGAATATTATAGAATCAAACCTTCATTCTTGTCAACTTTTTGGCCTCGGTCAAATATGTCTGAAGCATGTTGTAAGGACGGTTATGATATACAGACAAGTTGGATTTATTGTTGTACTCCTAGTTTTAAAAGTCACTTGTGAAAATAAATGGTACATAGATAAACTAATTTGCTTGCTGTGCAAATTTTATTGCACATTTATCACTGTATGAGCAAGGAGAAAGCAAGCATATGCGATCCTCGTGTGAAGTGGAGAAAAGGGAGAATGCAGGAGAAAAGTATGTACCTTGGTGTGATATGGAATGAGAATACAAATTTTATATGAAAAAAAATAGTAAATAAATGTAAATCCTTTATAGAATTGAGAACACTTTGCAAAATTACATGTAGGATTCTAATAGAGTGAGTTTATTGAGACTGGGTAGAACTTATACTTAGCATGTAAATGTTGTGTTTAGGCAATGCTTTGGAGAACCACTACAAAATGAATACAAAAGACAAGCCCAAATCTTAATTCTTTTTTGAGGGCAAAATAAAAATCTCATCTCCTTTGTGTTTTAACAAAAATCTGTATGACCATTTTCTGAAAAACTCCTGAAGCTAGCTAAGAAGTCTATTTTCCTGTGGACATATGTACTAGATTCCTATTAGTGTTACTCAGAGCACTGTACTTAATACTTATTCTTCTATTTTTTCTTCTGTTGCTAAGGGAAGTGGCCGATAATAGCAAATACTCAATACAGATCTTTTCTTTCCCTTTTCAGATGTTCTGATTTCAGCATGCACCTTATACACCATATTTAAGTTGTACCAGTTAAGTTGTCACTGATCCTTCATAGGATCTTTGCATCCCTTCTCATGTTCTAGCACACTTAGGTTTGAGTTCCTACAGCAGCATGCTGGTAATAGATCAAATGGTGCAGTAAGGGCTTGCATTTTTTTGTCGTGTTCTGTAGGATACCATTTTCATCAGCTCAAAATGTTTCACACTGCTTGAAAAACAGTATTTCTGTACTGGTCCTTTTGTCACTAATCCCTTTTCTGTCCTTGGAAGAAAAATAAGGTAGTTAAGAAGAGTCTAGAGACTCTCAAAAAAGAAAAAGCTCCACCATAAAACCTTCTTTATAAAGTTCAAGGGAAAGGTCTTCAGGCAGTATTAAATTGATGCAGCCCACTTATGGAGCTACATATGTTTCTGCTGTTCTGAAAGCTTAAGGGGCACTGTCATAAAAATAGATCCATCCACAGTACACAGGTCTCTCTGTGTCTAACTGAACTAATTTTGTCTGCATCAATGGACTCCCTTTTGATTAATGGAGTTGTAAAGTGAAACCAGGATCAGGCCTGCTGGTTGTAAGATTTAGTCACAGGGATTGTATTTCTCTCTTACAAATTTTTATTTTCAGATTTTAGCAGCCTCAAGAATTGCCCTTAGTTCTGGAATTACTGTGTTTAGAGTTCCAAGTGTAACTGAATAAAAACAATTTGAGAGGTTTACAATCTTTTTGAATCCACAGAGATGCTTTTCTCTAAACAACAATTTGTAAGCCACAATTGGCTATTAGTTATACATAAGCAGGTAATTTTATCTGACACTTCATTGAGTTAGGGTATAAATATTTTACTTGCCTGAAGTATGTTTGCCTTCTTAAAAGGCAGTGTCTGATTTTATATCATAGTGACTGTTCATTTTTTAACAGCACTGTGGCCAGAAAATGAAAAGCTTCTATCTTTGCAGCTGTAGAACTGTGCAAATGTAAAATACAGTAGCAGTGCTGAAATAACTAGTGCTTTTCTTCCAGAAACTACATTTGAGTGAAGATGTTGCTGGAGCCACATTCATGGCAGCAGGGAGCTCCACTCCAGAACTGTTCGCATCCGTTATAGGTATGGAGCCCACACACTAGCTCTTAGGAGATCTACTGTTAAAAAATCAGCAGCAAATCAAGCACCAAAAGTGCTACCATTCTTCTGTCAATTTATGGTCGGCAATTACAGCTGTCAACTGATCTGTGGTTCATGGTATAATTAACTACTCAAAATATCTCATGAAACTGTGAATCTCCTCTCAAAACACAGAGACAGGAGTGGCTGATTCTGAACATAAGAAGTAAAAGAAGATATTTATTGCAGTTCCCTGAAGGAGAATTTGAGATATTTGATGCCTCCTTGGCTTCTTTCTTCACAAATAAAGGGAATTAATTTTAGCAAGGAGGTAGGAGAACAGGGAATGTGGGAAAAGAACGAATTAATGTATCAATAAGTCAGATCTGTTAAAGGCAGAAGGGTGTGGTGTACATCACTTACAGAATTACTTGAAATAATACCTGAAATATTAAATATTATTGATATAGAGAATGTCTAAATGGTAAAAACAGTACCTATTAAGAGAAGAAAGGACACAGGATGATACTGAAAGAGAAGGGGGAAATCAGCATCTAGTCCTATGACAACAGGCCATACTAAAACGTGTCCTTATCTTTCTTATAGGCCACCTTTAAGTACTGAAAGGCCATAGTAAGGTCTCCTTGGAGTCTTTTCCAGGCTGAACAAACACAACTCTTAGTCTTTCTTCATAGGAGAGTCGTTCATCCCTGAGATAATTTCTGTGGCTCTCCTCTGGAGCTACTACAACAGGTCCGTGTCTTTCTTGTACTGATGACTTCAGAGCTGGACACAGTACTCCAGGTGAGGTTTCACCAGAGTGTCAGGGCAGAATCACCTCTGTTGAGCTGCTGACCACGCTTTATTTGATGCAGCCCAGGATACAGCTGGCTGCCTCTGCTGTGAGTGTACATTGCTGGCTCATGTCCAGCTTTGCGCACACCAACACCCTCCAAGTCCTCTGTAGGGCTGCTCTCAATTCCTTCATCCCCCAGCCTGTATTGATATTGGAGGTTGTCCTGACCCATGTGCACTTGGCCTTGTTGAACCTCATGAGGTTCACATGGGCCCACTTCTTGAGTTTATCCAGGTCTCTCTGAATGGCATCCTGTGCCTCAGGTGCATCAACCACACCAGTCAACTTGGTGTCACCTGCAAACTTGCTGAGGGTTTACTTGATCCCACTGTCATTGATATTAAAGAGTACTTCTCCTAGTACAGACCCCTGAGGGACACCACTTATCACCGATGTCGGTCTGAACGTTGAGCCATTGACCACTACCCTCTGCATCTGACTATTCAATGAATTCCTCATCCACCAAACAGTCCACCTGTCAAATCCATATTTCTCCAATTTAGAGTGAAGGATATTGTCAGAGACTATGTCAGAGGCCTTACAGAAGTCCAGATAGACTACATCTGTAGCTCTTTCCTTTGTCTAGTGATGTAGTCACTCAATCATAGGAGGCCACTAAGTTGGTCAGGCAAGACTTGCCCTTGTTAAAGCTGTGTTGGCTGTCTTGAGTCACCTCCCTTTCCTCTATGTGCCTTAGCATAACATCTCGGAGGATGTATTCCATGATCTTCCCAGGCAAAGGATCACTGGTCAGTAGTTACCAGGGTCTGCCTTTCTACCCTTTTTTAAAAATGAGCAATTCCCTTTTTCCAGTCACTAGGGACTTCACCTGACTGCCAGAAATTTTCAGATATCATGGAGAGTAGCTCGGCCACTACATCAGCCAATTCCCTCAGAACTCTGACATACGTCTTCTCAGGATCCATAGACTTGTGTATGTTCAGGTTCCTCAGGTGATCATGAATCTGATCTTCCTTTACTGTGGGAGGGACTTGGCTCCCTCAGTCCCTGTCTAGCAGTCCCTCCACTCCAAGAGGTGTGGGAAAAGAGGTTGCCAGTGGAGACTGAAGCAAAAAAATTTAGTACCTCAAACTTCTCCTCATCTGTTACCAGCTTGGCAGTCTTGCTCATCACAGGGGGTACATTTTCCTTAACCTTCCTTTTCTGGTGCACATACCTGCCTTTACTCTTTGCATCCCTTACCAAGTTCAGCTCCAGCCATGCCTTGGCCTTCCTGACCCCATTTCTCCACAACCAGGCAGTGTCCCTGTACTTTTCCCAGGTTATCTGTCCCTGCTTCCACTGCCTGTGCAGTTCATTCTTGCCCTTTAATTTGGTGAGCAGGTCTCCACTTGGCCATGCTGGTCTCTTGCCTTCTTTTCCTGATGTCTAACACTTGGGCATTGAGACCTTTTGCACTCTGTGGAAAATGTCCTTAAAGATCTGCCAGCTCCATTCTGCTCCCTTGTCCCTGAGGGACATTTCCCAGGAGGTCCTATTGACAAACTCCTTGAACAGGTGGAATTTTGCTTTCCTAAAATTCAGGGTCCCAACTTTACTTTTTGCCTACCCCATATCTTTCAGGACTGTAAACTCCACCAGTGCATGATCACTACAGCCCAAGCTGCTTCCAGTCTTGATGTCACCAATTAATAAACTTACTTTGATGACCAGCAGATCCAGTATTGCATCTCCTCTGGAAGGCCTGACTATTACCTGGCTTAAGAACTTATCCTCAGTGTATTCCAGGGGACTTCTGGATTGCCTGCAGTTCGCCGTGGTGTTTTTCTAGCAGCTGCTGTGTGGTTGAAATCCCCCAGCAGAACAAGAGCCTGTGAGTGTGAAGCCTTCTGTAGCTGGAGCAAGAAGGCTTTATCAGTAGGCTCCCCTTCATTGGACAGCCTGTAGTAGACAGGAACCACAAAGTTCCTTTTATTGCTTCAGTCTCTAATTCTTACCCATAAGTTTTCAACCTGCTCATGGGTGTTCTTCAGACAGCTCTTCACAATCTATTAATTTCTTGATGTAGAAGGCAACCCTTCTGCCTCTTTCACTTGCCTGTCACTTCCAAACAGCCTCTAGCTATCGATAGCCACTCTCCAGTCATGAGATTTGTCCCACCAAATTTCAGTAATGGCAACTAGGTTGCAGCTTTGTAGCAGATGGTGGCTTAACTTAGATAACATCTGTCTTTAGTAGAGCCTTAGTAGGCTTTCTGCTATTATCCCAACTGAAATTTTTATGAACAAGGGAATACAGGCTAGAGGAATGCTCTATAACTTCATGTCCACCTTATTAAAAATCAGTGAGTGTAAGCCTTTGAAGCTGTATTTAGTGAAGGAAACCTGTTTTCTCACCTGGGAGAAAGGTTTCTGTGCTTTATTATAGTGTTTGAAATAAATTCCATGCTTCTGTGTTATACTGGTTTGAATGGATTACTGCACCACTAACAACCATCCTGTGAAGTACAGGATTTAGCTAGGAAATAATTTACTTTTAATAAATATGTAGAGATATTAAGCCAAAAATGAGGAGCTGATGGATAGACTAAAAGCACAAAATATTTTGCAGAAAATTGAGCATTTATTATGAAACATGTTTGGGTTAAACTTTCAGACAAACTCTTGTTCTCAAGTAGTACATGTTCTAAACTATTGCCTGTGACCTGAAATTAAATCACAGAGATAATAATGCATGTTTTGCTCCCTCTGCAGGTGTATTTATCACTCATGGAGATGTAGGAGTAGGGACCATTGTTGGTTAAGCAGCTTTCAACATCCTCTGCATTATTGGTGTCTGTGGAATATTTGCAGGACAGGTTAGTAAGAGACTTACCTTTTTGGTGTTCAGTTGCTTAAAATTTAGGGGTTTCCATGAACAAATTTTTTAAAAATTTTTTTAAAATTCAAAACCAAAAATGATTTAACATTGTGAAAAATGTCAAATGTTGGGAAGTACTTACAAATAGAAAATGTTTCCAAGTTCAGCTCTAGTTTCAGCATGTGAACACATAGCATGTGGAGGACACTGGTTCCTCTTCATACGGTAGTGTGTTCACAGTCAGGTGGTCAGTGGCATCTGCCAGTCCTTCCTGGTAATGATGGTGATCAAAGAATCTAGCATGATATTCGCTCCATCTACTCAGTGCATGGTTAGACCGTGTATCATATTTTTTCACTTATTAAGTCAAACATGTCCACAAATATAACAAAGTGGGAATTGTTGAGTTGTTGCAGCACAATGAACTGTACTTTGTAAGAAACTATGACCAATTAAAATACCATTAGTACAAAGTGTATGTCATTAATGGAGGTTTCTATATGATATTTATTATTGGCTGAAGGTGTGGTATTTTTCAGGTGGTTTGTCTCACCCAGTGGGCTGTATACCGGGATTCCGTGTACTACACAATATCTGTGATTGTTCTTATTGTTGTAAGTAGTTCGTTTACCAATTAATGTGTTTTATTGCTCAAATGTTTGGAGGAGCAGCCTCCTAACCATTGGATACAGTGGTAAACAGTTATTTTCCTAGCTATTTCTAGTGATGTCTGGAAGTGAGGGCTCAGCTCCACAGTATGATCCAAATAATGAAAACCTCCTACAGCCCCACAGAATGTGTCCAGCATATCCATCAATGTCTATTCATTTTGTACCTACAGGCTGTTAAGTTCTGCAGGCTACTGTTACATGGTGCAGTTAGCACTCTTGGCTGGCCTAGGGAACTGCTTCTTGTGGAAATAAAACATCTTGAGCTGCACATCTAGTTTAAATAGGGAAGGTGGCTGTTTCTTGCTTCTACATAATATTTTTTTCCCCTAGATTCTGGGTAAATTTTTATAAATGGACTACAGGTGAGATACCACTTTGCTCATCTAGAGCAGTGTAGTACCTCTGAACGTACACATTTACTGTAGCTGGTCGCAAGGAGGGGAAGAATCCACTTAGGTTGTTTTGGAATAAATGTGGATCACTAACTGCCCATTCAGTTACAGGACTTACATAGGGTGGCGTAAAATTTGTATAACCACTTGGCCTAAGAATGGCAGTAAAATGGCTGCCTTGTCTGCTGAAACTAGTCTGCCTGTTAAAAGGACTCAGAGCTGGGTCTCTTTAGAATACACACCACAGCGTAGTGTGCATATCTGTCTTTCACGTGCTCTCACTGTTTTACTAAATAGTATTTATAAAAATCACCAAGAGGGATCCAAGCCTTGTTCACAAGGTTTGTGCTTTGTGAGGGTCACAACCACATACAGTGCAAGTTGTGGTTAGAAAAGGTCAAAACTGAAGTAGCTTCTGGCTAGATGTGACTGATATTTATTACTACATTTTTCTGTTTTTCATGACAGATGAGAGAAATGGTGTTTGTGTTACCTGTTTTTTTTGTTTGTTTTTTTTTCCCTCTAGTTCATATATGATGAGAAAATAGAATGGTAAGTTGTGTAAATTATTCGCTACAGTCCCATGTTTTTCTGTATGAGGCTGATCAGTGGAGTTGCAGTGTAATTAGCTTTCATTCATACCCACTGGGACTATGGGCTGGATTTGTCACGTAGGAAATCCTATGTATTTTCTTCGGCTATATTTTTTTATGATGATCAGGGGAAATGTAAAGAAAACTTAAGAATCTGGAAGCATTAATGAAATAAATAGGCTATATTTAAGGCCTGAAAACACACATGTAACCCAAGTTCTGCTGGTCTGATCTGGCTGTTAACATTATGGGGGTGTTGAGTATTCCAAAGAACAGTCCAAGCTGGGATACTGGTGGCAGATCATAAGCATCTTCTCAAAGAATCCTCTCAGAGGGCTTAGCCTGTGCTTCAGCACTGAAATGACAAAAGGCCTTGGCACTATGATCCTCAGAGGATCCTAGTGCTATGATTTCATGGTTTCAGTCTGCACAGCACATTTCTGAAATGTACACATTACATTTTATTTGCCTGTTCATTAGTACTTGAGCATCTACTTCCTCATTCTGCTGAGACACCATCTAATTTTAATGACGTGAAACCTGTGTACACAAATGTGACTTGTACTAGACGTTTAATGCACACTCCTACATAAAACTTGTAAAGCATATAGCTGTTTGATCTTTTAACACCTTTTTTTTTGTCTCTTGGAGGTGGGAAAGCCTTGTACTCATCGTTATGTATTCATTCTACATACTGATAATGAAGTAAGTGCTTTTCTTGTCTGTATGCCCTTTAGGTGTTAATTGACCATCATTCTTTTGGTGTGTTGCTGAGGACACTACAGCCAGTCATGTTTCTGTGTCAGATCCCTTCCTTTTTCATGCTAAATCAGTTCCTCACTGGATTTGCACTCACTTAACAGCAAATATTTTCGTATGTCCTTTTCATAGTGCACTGAGGTAAAGTTGCTTTCAGAAAAAGTTTAGAGAAAATGCCATTTATACACAGATCTCTGAAGAAGTCCACTGGGTGGTCACAGATTGTGAGCATGTCAGCATGTCAACTGTTACACATACTTTGTAACCTCTGGAGATCAAGGTCAAGGTACATTAGAGAGACTGCTAAGCACGTATTTATCTTCGGACTATCTCATACCAGGCTGCATGTTGACCTTCTTCTGTAGTGTCCCTACCTCTGACAGGAGAGTCAGGGGCCCAGCTGTTAACTGCAGGGGTCTGTGAGTCCACTCTCCTACTGCAAGTTGCTTAGGCTTATGCCATGGTCCCCTCCCCTCACAAATCACTCTTTGGATCTTCATCTTCCCTTTTCTCCTACATCAGATGTTAGCAGAGTTCACCGAGAGCCCTCTTAGATCCCACTCTAGTGCTAATGTAGGTGCATTCTTTCCCTGAAACGGTATGGTCAACAGTCCCAGAAATGCTTGAATACCTGCCATGGGGAACACAGTGCTGAGAGAAACAGTGAGGCTAATTTTGAGCCTGATTCAGGAGGAAAGAAAACCTTGTATAGTGAGTGTCCTGGCTCATGAGAGATAGGTGCAGGCCTTGCTTTCCTATCAGCTTACTGCTGAATTGCCTAGTCCTTTCTCTTCCTGTTATTTGTCAGAGACCTTCAACAGTCCAGCCTTTTCAGACCTTTCCTTTGCACTTCCAGGTACAATGTGAGGATGCAAACTTTCTTCACTCTTAAAAGCAAGAATGTTGGAAATGGTGACACAGTCAACAATGAGCTGGAAGATGGTAATAAATATTATGCCTCTAGTTGTGATGACCCATCCATTCCATTACTATGCAAAGGTAAGGCTGAGCAGACAGGACGTGGAAAAAGAGTGGTTCACAGGAAACCCTTTTTATTTCTTCAATGCAGATCAAAACAGTGTTACTGTTCAATCATAAGCAGGAATTTTTATTGGGTTAACTTGACAATTCAGCAGTCAGACTGCCAGATGAAAAAAAAACCCTATCAATTTTTTTTTATTCTGAAAACAAGCTGCTTTGCACATTGGCAATTTTGCTCCCTTTTTATCTCCTGTTCAGTAATGAGCTATAATAAACACTGTGAAAGAAATACTTTATTTTTTGTTTGTTTTTTTGCCAGGAAGAAGGCAATTTTCACTTCAAAAATTAGTTTGTAACTTGAAGCTGAGACTTTAGGTGTTGAAGGACAGGACATGGGCAGATCAGTGGGCAAGAGGGATTATGTGTTGAGTTCAGATCCTCAGAAGACTGGCTTTCACATGCCAAAATAACACTGCACATGTTGCCAAGCACATATTTTAAATTGAGAAATGCAGGTTCTTTGCTGTCTGTTTCTTTGTCATAAAGGGGAAGAAGATGATACCCAGCTTCTGGTACTGAAGGTAAGAAAACATACCTGGTGTTCTGGGCTTTTTTGTAAGCCTGTTTTGACCGTGATATTATCCCTCTTCTCTTCCATTTCCTCGGCAAAGAGCATTCTTACCTTCAAAGTACAAACCATATAATTTAGCAAGCTCTTGGGCTACTCCTAATGAATGAAGTCTTCCTGCTTTGTTCTTTGCAAACATCTCGTATTCTGGGAGACTGAGCTGAGCTGCATGTAGGTGGCATTTGGAAAGATCCTCATGTAATAAAGGTACAAATCGTGGCAAAGAGGAATTTAGAACAGACTTGGAGAATCCCACTCTTTTCTGCTTTTAATGTTTAGACTGGGGTCTCTTCAAGGTAGATACTTTCACTTACTACATGTTTATGCAATGACAACACACTGATACTCTAGTCTCAGATATAATGTCTAGACAGTAGTTTAAGAGAGATTTAAAATTACTTTTTATAGGGCATTGTAGCATGAGTAAATGAAGATGTCTTAGTAATACTAAGATCTCACTTTGCAATGAATTTTTGTGAGCACTGACCATGATATACATCAGTGATTTGAATATGGAGATATGTACATACAAGGTTCAGAGGATACCTCCTAGGACAGTTGCTACTTCCGTATTCAAGTGAGAACACAGGAAAAGGGTAATCCAGTGAGAGAACAGATATTACTGGGTTTTACTTCTGAGGTGTTTGTTGGATTGTGATGTCGTCTCCCTGAATGCTCTCCTCTCTCGCCACTGTGTGGTAAGGGGATGATGGCACAGAGTGCTTCCCTGTCCACCTATTTCTGTTTCAGGAAATGTGAAGGTTATTTAATGCTTGTGAAGAACATGCAGAACTTTTAGGAAAAGGAGAAAGAAACCTAATAAAAACCTGGACTCAGGAGAATGTTGTCGCCACTGGCAGCTGTCTACAGCATATTTCTTCTCTAATTTCCCTTAAAGATGCACTGAGACTGCAGTTTCAGTCAGATTCCCTTTGCCTTCTCCAGTACCCACTACACAAATCCATGCTGCATCGGAAGGACCATTGTTCAAGGTGTGAGAGTGTAGACATCGTAGGCAAACATACCTGGGATGAGAAAGGACACAAAGAAGAGATTAAGCAGGAGACAGAATTTGGAGTGAGCTGTCGAGAGGAGGAGTATGGCAGTGTTAGCTTATATGCTTTGTAGGTGGGTGCTTTCTATGTGTCAAGGCTGTCGTAGAAAGCCATCACATGGCTGCTTGTTGCATCTCCCTCCTGTTGAGTCAAAATGTGCCATGACCTCAGTGACTCAAGTGTTAGTTGACACTTGGCAGGCTTTATAAGCTGAGTTGAGCCTTCCCTAGCATCACTTTCCAGAAACAGGAGTGCACCTGCTTGTAGCAGCAAGAGAACTAGTGCTGGCCTCGGCCCTGCCTCCAACCAGTGGTTGCTTGCTAAAGTTTCAGGATCCACCAAAAAAACCCCACTCTTGGCTTCACCACGGTGTAGGTCTAACTGATTTTCCTCAGTCTGATTAATTCCAAAAAAAGAACAGTTGCTTTGGAGGGGGAACTTTCTTCCTACCAAGGATGGCTATTCTGTTGCTCAAGGTGCAGATAAAACAGGGATTCACATGCTGTGCAGCTCTTTTAAGGTTGTAAATTTTATTACTTTCAAGAGCTTCCAATGATACAATGAAAAAAATTCCGTTATTTGCGTTTCAGAGAGGAAAAAGGAGACTTTATCACGGTAAGGTAAATCCAGTTTCAAGGGCACATTCTACACACAGAGGTAAAGGCAAAATATTTGTACTTTGTGAATAATGCTTCTATTTTGAAAGTACAGATGTGTGGCTCATGGACCTTGGCTTTTATTATGCTGGCCCAAATTTCCACCAGGTGGCATGGTTTGATTCCTGCCTAAAACCAGAAACTCCAAAAAAGTGGGCTTCTGTGGGCCTGATCCAGGAATCATCTGAAGTCAGCAAGAAGCTTTCTGTTGATTTTGACAGGGGTATTGGTGATGATGCTTGGTGCTGAGCAGGAAGTTTAGGTGGGTTGTTAAAGGGAAAAGCCATTTGCAGAAGATGTTTTTCTAAGGAATATCACAAAGGAAAAGTGAAAAAGGCTTTTCTCTGTATCACATTTGTGAAAAGCATTTTTGTGACTTTTAAGTGGAGCCTGTTTGTACTATGTGGGACTAAGGTATGCATGTTTATGGGCAGAGGGAGTGCGGCTGAAGAGCTGTTAAAAATATGAGCAATGTGCTGCAGTAAGTCAAAACAGCTGTAGTTATATATGTATTTAGAGTGATGTATTCTACATCAGTGCTGGGTCTTTTATCATAGTATTTGATCAAAGATAAGTATGTTTGCTTACTCTCTCCTTAGTGCTCTAAGAAACAGTTGCAGAGTAACTGCAGTGCTTCAGTGTTTTTCATGACACTAAGAAGCACTTTGGAGACTTCACTGGAGAAACTCGCTTGAGAGCAGTTAATACGAGACTGTTAAAAAGATATCTGGCCTTTTTTGCCTTACCAGGATTGCTCTGTCAGACGTTTTCTGTGTCTAACTAAAGCAAACATTAAGCTACTGTGGCTGAGTCCTTTTTGGTGAGGATTGGTTCCTCTGGCTATATATTCCTTCAGAGAAAAGCTACTACACTCTAACTGTGAGAGTCCTTGGAATGGTTGTGCTCCTTATTTGCATCATCAGCTGCAGTACTCAGCAAGTTTGATTTGTTTTAAATGTTAGGGTGTGGGGAGGGTAATTGCAAAAATACTACTAGTTCTATTCTCCATTAGAGGTATTAAACTGCAAGACAAGACTACAGAGGGGATTCTTTGAGTGGGGCCTATTTCTTTGAGAACCCGAAGATCTCTTTATGACAACTGAGGTGACCCAAATGTACTCATTGAAAACTCATTTTAGAGAAACAAATCAAGACACTTAAATTCTACAGGGTAAAGGATAGTTGTTTACTGGTCATTTACAGGTTTCCTGGATTTTTCTTGTTGAATGATAATGGAAGTATATATTTATTCAACTTCGAATATGTTAGAAGATTCTTGAGAAAAGCAAAGCCTTGATTGTGTGATGTGATTTGCATGCATGCATGGATCCAGTCTTCTGCCTGAAAAACAAAAACATTTCAACATTGTAACAATGCCAAAAAATAACAATATAGATACTGTGTGTTTAGAACAGGTCCATTTTAATTCCTTTGTTTGAGTTTCTTAGATTTCCTTTGCTTCCTGGCTGGGACCATGCACTAATAATTATCTTTCACTTCTACCTCCTAAATTCTCTTCCTCTTCTTACTGTAAGTAACTTAATGTGAAAGGGGAGTGGGAGGGTGAAGCCAAGCTAAGCAAAACACAAAACAAGCAGCGAGAATTTTTTTTTTTCCTGCACATACTATTACATGTAATAATATTTATTACAGTCATATCTGTATTTCCTGCCCTGCTTTCTAACACCACATGGGTATGTCTCCTGTCTGCTGAGCCTTGCTCTGCTGGCTATGTATAGTCTGGAGCATTTGTGGGAGTATTGGTTTGTTGTTGAGCTGTTGAAAGTCCTTGCCTGTACTAACATTGATTGCCATGCAATTTTGTCTCCATTTGTGTTCTTAACACAGTAGAACAAAACTCTTAACCTTGGTGCAAGTTTCTTTACGTTAACAAAGGCTTACTTATACATTTGTTCTTGACAGTTGTTTCTCATTATTTGAAATTTTGTCATGTTAGAGATCTTATGATTATTCTGTGAAGGTAAAGTGAAGATTTTCAGAAGGAGTGAGTGCAACATTAGGGACTTCTGAAAGTGCAGCACCTTGATCCAGTGGGACAGCTTTAGAGGTGTCAGGAATGCTGTCTGCACTGCCACAGTGGAAGTGCTTTCTGAGAAAGCTTACAAGTGGCTGGGTAAAAACTGAAAGTGGGTTGGTGGCTACCTTAGCAGTGTGAAATCCCTTTTCAGCATATAAGCGCACAACAGATGAGTAGATTTGCCAAATTGCAGAAATATTACAGGAAAGTCACTCAAATTCAAGCATTAGGATTAGTATTACCCCCACTTGAGCCTGAAAAGAGTGACTCTGGGTGATAGGATGCATGGTAAGATTAATTCCACAACTAACTGTCCATTGTGATCCTTAGTGAAAGGGGTGAAGCAGCGTGGCAGAAGCAGTGTTGTGATGGTGGATGAGGTCATCTGCGCCAATCCCCCCAAATACCGGTTCCCTGAAGCTGGATTACGTGTTATGGTTACAAATAAGTTTGGCCCACGCACCAGAATGAGGATGGCAAGCCGACTCATCATTAACGAGGTAGGAACATTAAGAAGACAATAAATGACTGTGAAGCAGAGGGACTGCCAAAGAGCCGTGCTCGTAGTGATTCGGGAATTCAGGTTCTTCTGTGTTCTGGGGATGGGCTAAAGCTATGTCTTTCTCTATTTCTTAATGGGAGTGCCATCACCAAGGAGGGACTCCCTTATCTCTCAAGGGGTGTGTGTATATGTGTGCACATATTTGGATTTTATCTACAGCAGAATTGTTTTTGACCATTACACAATTGATCCAGCTAAGAAAGAACAGTGAACAGGGTAACCAGAAAAAAATCTATAAGAATTGCTCTTATACTGGCAGCAAATCAGAATCACATCAGATATTTGCCTACCTCTTTAGTGTTCAGTGTAGTTCTCAGCCCAAAACGGAAATGGACCAACATGTTTTCATGAAGGGACTTTGCCTTGGACAGTTCCAGTTAACTCTTATTTGATATATTGTCGCCAGTATATATTTCATGCTTGTTTTATACCCTGCAGATGAAGTGACAGAACTGGCCAAGTGATGCTGTTCTGAGATTGTGTGAATTACCTGGGGAGAAGTCTTTGGCCTTGGTTTCTATGACGGCAGGATTTTATACTTTGTTCCCCACAATGTCAAATACGAATTTTTTAATCTGGCAAATAAATTCATTTCAGTAGCTGAGGAACTACAAACTTTCATGAGTTCCTGGAATTTGAACATTGTAGCAGAGTTTGTGTGTCTATACAGCATTGTGAATACCCCAGTGGAAGCAAGCAGCACTAATATATTTGCAGCAAAAGTCCAATTTAACAGCAAAACACTGAAATGTTTTTTAGGAAGTCAGCTTGGTGGCACTCAGTCAGGAGCAGAAGATCAGATAGGACACACAGCAGCAGTTGACTGTAGAAGTTCTGCTGTGAAGACAATTCAATGGTCATAAAAAATTTCTTTTGTAATGGATACGTGCACAGAGACCTGGTACTTGCTAGTTCAACATCTACAAACTACATTCTCTAACTCAGAGCATTTTGGATCTATGTTCTTGTGTATTCTCACTCCTGAAGTTTTGTCAAGTATTCGGGTGTGAGTTTTCTCTATTTTTAATTACAGCATGTCACTGTTAGTTTCAGTAACTTTTTGCATGTTGTGCAGTTACTTTGTTTTTCAAGGCATTTCAGAGAACTTTTTAGGAAGTTGCAATAATTCGTCATGAAAAAGAGAACACTTATTGACCCTGCATTATTCTTATCTAACAGATAAAAACATTTCTTTTTTTATAAAAGTGGGAAATTACTGTTACTTCTCACATTCTCTAGTATATTAATGAGTTTATATACTCATATATAAAAATATATATATAAAAGTACTCATTATATATAAAAACTACCCGTTTCCTTGTTGTACTATGTATTGAAACTGTAGCAGTCTTACAGATATTTGCAGGGGCAGTTACAAGCTTCATGAAAGTATATACTTGGACAAGGGCAACAGGGGTTAATGTTGCTTTTGAATTTATAAGTAGGACCTTTACCTCAAGGAATGGGGATGAGAAGGAGGGAGAAGAGCTGGACCTGAGCAGGAGAGACCTTGGTAATGAGTTGTTCACAAGCCAACTGTAATAGTGCAGAAATGTCTTGAGTGTTACTACTAGGTTATGGTGCCATGGTTGGTTTGAGTGGTAGCTGCTGAGTGAGAAGAATCACGCTCATTAAAATGTGGTGTGAAAGGACAGATATGACAGCTGGTAATTTTGAGGTTGTTGGTCAACAACTGGCATGATGAAGACAGGTAGGCCACAGACAGATTTTTTTTTTCTTGCTTACTGGAAGGAAGGCTTTGTGGAGAAACATCACGGCTCATGTGACTTGGGCTGGACAGACGGCAAACCCCAGATTTAACAAAGTCAGTATTGTCCAAACTATGGCAATTTTGTCTTCTACTCTGCAGCATCAGCGGTTAATCCAATCTCAAGCAAAATGCTCAGGCAAACCACTTGAGAATGGGAGACATGAAAATATTGAAAATGGCAACATCCCTGTGGAGAACCAAGGAGAAGAGAGTGAACAGGACAGTCTATCTCCCTTTTCATTGCCAGGTAAGGCTTGCTTTCCAGGTGTTTATAGTAAGGAAACAGAAGATAATTAAAATACCGAACACTGGGTTTTAAGAAAAGGCAACATAGGTGGGGAGACAGGAGGAAGGGCATTGATTTGATTGTCTGAAGGCTGGATTTCATGATAGTAAAACTTGG